TTGGGACATAATTATGGATTATAATGACTTATACTGTCCTTTTACGCGTTGCGTTGCATCGCGCCGCGTAAACATAAAACCATGTCTGCATTTGTGATCAGAGAAACAACAAACAACAAGCGCTACTCTACACTGCTCAAAACTCGCGTTTGAATCAGTGGCAAATTATTTAAATATGAAAACGTACTTACAGGCTGTGAGTCAGCATTATTTGTCAGAACACCGGCATTGTAGGCTACTCTCCCAGGATCAGGAAACAGTCCTCCATAAAATGCGCTGCACACATCTGAATATTTGGGTTGAACTGTTCTGGAACAGTGTTGTAAATACAACTTAACCACTGATTTCTAGTCATGTCCTGTTTTGGAAGACCAAACAAAGGAAACGAAACACACAGGGTCTTCACAACATGGCAGCGGTGGTGGCAGCAACAATAAAGTTACGCCTTCTTTCTTTGCGTGAACATTTGGGCGGCGTTATGCAAATCTTCCCACACAGTGACGTAGACATGTGGGGGCGTGTTTGAACGAGGCATTTTAGGAGGGCATGGATCAGTCTTAACTTTTATAAAGAATATCTCTTTGGGTTTGAGACTTTAGTCTTTGCAACTTTAGGGATCGTATCTATTCACTAACAGCTTGTAACACTCCAAAGAGAAAGGAAAACTTGAAATCGCATCATATGACCCCTTTAAGAAGTAAAAAGACTTCAACTGAAATATAATACGTACACATTAAATTTTCTTTTCAACATGAGATCCACTTGATCCTGGGAATGTTCAAATAAGATAAACATGATCAGTGTATTACATGCATTATAGCGGAGAAACTCTTATAAGGCACTTATAAAGCATAAAGAGCAACAGCATTGTGTGTCATACCCTGTGTCCTGGTGCAATGTATTTGTGAAATAACTCTACATCCTCTGCACAACAGGACAGCACATGCTCCGTGGCAGCCTTGAATAAGTCCTCCATTACCTGGAGAATGAGAAACAAGCTTTAAAATGAAAATGATGCATTATGATGTGTACACACTTTCAAATCCACCTTAAAACCATCATCTGTCACTAAAGACGGTCATCATCAGTCTTTAGTGCATGTAATTCACTGAGTGGGAAGGAATGAGTTTTGCACCTTCATAAGGTCGTCGAGTGACTCAGTGAAGGCAATCTCTGCCTCTACCATGTAAAACTCTGCCAAGTGTCTCCTGCTTTGAGAGTTCTCCGCTCTGAACGTGGGGCCGAATGTGTACACTGCTGAAAAAGCCCTACAACGGACAACAGCAGACGCTGAGCAATTACAAAACATTTTAGCATTCAACTTCAGCTAATGAATACTCAGCTCGTTATACATTTTGTAATGTCTAATCTAGTGGATCTCAAACCCTTGACCAACACAATAATTATAAAGGATATTTCCTCTGGTATTTATGCTGTATAAACTGATTTATAAATTGGTAAATTAAAAACACGATTCACTTGACTCTATAAGCTTCGAGAATCTGATTCTGAATGGTTTTTAATAAATAATAGTTATTGCGGGGGAAAAGCAATGATTTGAGTTCATCTTGATTTTCTGTGTTTTTAGCATTATAATTAAGTTTTAATGAATTTTTAATTTTCAAATTACTTTCATTTGGGGGCTTTTCTCAGCAAATATTGCTATTCAATTGTGTTATATAACAAATAAACTTCCTAATAAATTCACAGCCCTAATAATAAAATAAAGCTAAGATCAAGAACATGACTAGTTGTGTCTAAACTCTTTACCCTGCCATCACCTCCAGGTGCAGTTGTCCTGACACTGTTAGGTAAGCCGGCACAGAGAAGAAATGTGGGTTTGGATCGTCTGAGTCATTTTTATGACCTGCAGGCTTCAGAGAGCACAAAGAAAAGTTTTCATTGTTTTAAGGAAGAACCAAAAGTATCCATGTACCATATTTTGAAATAGTATAATTTTGCTTGTTGCTATATCTCACATTTCACCCTTCAACTAAGAAATACATAATAAATCTGACCGTACCTCAACTTGGAAGAGTTCTCCAGCTCCCTCACAGTCGTTTGAGGTGATTACTGGTGTGTGTATCTGCACATAACCGTTATCCTGTAACAACAATTAACACATTCACTCAAAAGGAAATACAAGCCATGTGAGAATTTTTGTTTCATAATTTTAATTTGTTATTAATTTGCACATTATGCAAATTATACAGGTAATATAAGAATTAAAGAATGAAAATACATTTAAAATATCTTTTTATTACTATTCAAAAGTAAAACGATTTTTTATAAATAAACACATTTATAATATTACAAACTGTATAAAAAATATATAAAATGTATAAATACATTTATATTTGTTTTATTCATTTTGTAAAATGTATAAATACATTCAGTTAATTATTAAATTACATTATTTCAAATAAATGCTGTTGTTCTGAACTTTCTATTTCAACAAAGAATCCTGAAAAAAAAGCATCATGGTTTCCACATAAATAATAAGCAGCAAAACTGTTTTAACATCGATAAGAATTGTTTCTTTAGCAGCAAATCAGCATATTAGAATTGATTTCTGAAGGATTCATGTGGCACTGAAGACTGGAGTAATGATGCTCTCCTTTACAGGAATAAGCTACTTATTAAAATATAAAACAGTTATTTTTAAATTGCATAAATATTTCACAATATTACTGTTCTTACTTTATTTTTGATCAAATAAACGCAGCCTTGGTGAGCATAAGAGATTTCTTTCAAAAACATTAAATCTTACTGATGCCAAACTTTTGAACAGTAATGTGTAAATTATAACTTTTCACCCTGAAGAATGACTGGATAGCGGTTGTAGCCTCACTGCGTATCCTGAGCAAAGAGCTGAAGGCATTTGTTCGGCATCTGAGGTGAGGAAACTGCCTGACATACTCCAGAGAATGACGCTCCTTGATCTTGAAAGGAAAGTCCTAGAGCAGACATACTCTGTCAATTTTTTATATAAATCACTTTATCTATTTTCTCTGACTGATTCATTTTCAAAGTAAAGACTCACCACAGGATTGCATTCACCAACCACTTTAATATGCTGAGCATGTAACTCCACATTTTGTCTCTTATTTATGCTCTTCTCTAAGGTGCCAGTGATGTCAACAGCACAGCCAAATGTGAGGTCTCTTGACAAGAAGGGAGGATAAATCAAAACTATACATCTACAGAGGCCCTAAAGAGTATTTAAACAAATAAAAACAACATTTTCTTTCTTTGATTTTTAGTGGATGCATGAAATCAGTTCCCTCAGATTCACACAAGTGCACTTGTTTACTGTAAATTGGAACAGTGTATGTATATATATATATATATATACATACATACACTGAACAAAATCATAAACGCAACACTTTTGTTTTTGCCCCCATTTTTCACGAGCTGAACTCAAAGATCTAGACTTTTTCTATGTACACAAAAGGCCTATTTCTCTCAGATATTGTTCATAAATCTGTCTAAATCTGTGTTAGTGAGCACTTCTCCTTTGCCGAGATAATCCATCCACCTCACAGGTGTGGCATATCAAGATGCTGATTAGACGGCATGATTATTGCACAGGTGTGCCTTAGTCTGGCCACAATAAAAGGCCACTCTAAAATGTGCA